GGGGGTGGAAGGTTTTGGGGGTAGAAAGTGGGACCCGCTCCCCCCCCCCCCCACAGATCGTGACAGAGAACCCGGGTACCCATCACAGACCGTGACAGAGAAACTGTAGTTGTAAAGCATCAGATATACGGTCAGCAACAAATGTGTCGTATGGAAATAGAACAAAAGGATTTCCGTTTAATTAGTAACAATGGGTCCATCGTGTTTCACATTTTTAATCCCGCAAGGGATTGCGCTAACAGCTTTCTTTCTAGTGTAACAATAATTCACAGCTAGTCAAAAGCATACGCTTATCTAAAGCTGTTATATTCATTGTTCGTAAACATTACCACAATTATTTATCCTAGCTTTCTACAGGGACGATCGATTTTAAATTTTAATGGAAGATACAGCTTTCGCTTAAGGTCAACACAATTTTTGCTTAACTATTAAACTAAACTAAGAGATTCACAATACTCTTTGGCAATTTACTGCAAAACGTATAGAAAAAATAACGAAAATAGATGCAATCAAGGTAGCCGACGATTAATTAGGTAGTGCTTGCTTTGTAGATAGGTTTAAATTGTCATTTTGTCCTAGAGCATTTTCTAGATATTTATGAAAATTTGGCACCAAAAATATTGGCGATCAAGAGTCATTCGTTTGCAAGTGTTATAGAAAAAAAGCCGGAATCTCAAATCTTTATCTCCATATGATCACATGTATGGTATTCATGTTCACATGGGACATTATTTACCGTTCAAGAGAAGTAATTCTCTCTGACTTTATTTTAAAATTATTTTTTAGTCATCTTTACCTTTTATGACTTCAATATGAGATTGAATTTCTCTAATAATATACATTCCTTAAAATTCGACTGCATATCTAAGTTATTGATATTATTCTATGAAGACTTCAAGTAAATTTACAGAAAAAGTTAAGATTAGATTATTTATTCGTGAATTGAAAGACATTGCACTAGTCAGTAGATCAGTTTTAGTATGTGCTTGCTCTCAGATTACAATAAGAGTGTACTAATCGGATACGATACGAACGCGATCACCGGTAAGATACAGATCAAGAACGAGTTGCCATGGTAAAGGACATTTAGTCACATCGATAATGATTCCATGTCTATTTCGTGTTCTGACATTTGTTAAATAAATCATTCGTTGATCGCAATCGACAAGTAAGTCGAATAAATCATTTCTTTCGCATATTACTTTTGTATCCATTATAGTTGGAATGACTAATACCATTAAGATAGACTTGATTGTATCCGGCCCAACCATAAGTCGTTTGACTGGTGCATGATTTTGTAGGTAATATAGTATTTTTTGACATAATTCCAAAAAAAATCCATTTTTGTGTATTTAACTCTTCGATTTTGACACGAAATTGATATTGCTCTGAAGTATATTCACCTTTGCAACGCACTGATGCATGATCAGTTGATCCTGTATTTACAGCGACTTTTCCTCTGTTGTCAATTCGTATATGATCAGTCGATCGTTCAAAAATATCAGTCGTTATTTCGCTAACTAAAACCTTGGAAATAAACGGAGCCCCATTCTCATCTTGACGAATATCAATTCCTATCGGTGCAGTCAAATTTCTATTTAATTGATGGAGTTTCTCATTCCACTGTTTCAAGTCTGTTTCGACAAAGTTAGCACGGTCATTAGCCACCCTTATTTCTTGTGTCATATCTGTCAATACGTCCTGTATACTATAAATTTTTCTGCTGATAACATTCTGTAATTGCTTTCGAGCGTCGTCAGCAGCTTTACGAATCTTCTCTATGCATTGTGCTCCCCAATCATCGATTTTTTTCATGAATGGATGACGATAAGGATTTGCAATATGTTGAGCAAGAGTTTGTTTCAATTGAGAATGATGAAGAGTAATTTGTTTCATCTGTTTGCACAATATCTGTTCATGTTCTTTTGTATGATGCGAACAAAACATTTTTTGACATCCGTGACATTTGAAAATGGTCCCGACTTTGCCGCATATTGCACAAAGCGGACTGTCTGATTGAAAAGAAGTCATACGCTTTAATAGACAGAATGAGTATTGAGAGATGATTTTAAATAAGAAAAATAGATAATAGAAAAGGGATCCAATTACGAATGAGATAAGTGGATCGGTTTTCATGTAATAAAGTTAAAATCCAATTACAATTTGATTCAGAACTGGCATTACCGAAAGGTTAGGTATTTTTCCTTGTCATAATAGTCATTGATCGTGTTTATAGATGAATGATAAAGGATCTAACCGACAGTCTCTCTTGGGGCGATTGATTGATAAGATGATCTAAACTGTATAAGAATAAATAGATCAATGAATCCAATAATTATATAAAAAGGGAAGCTTTACATTTTAATTTTGAAAAAAAAATTTTCTTGTTCGTCTTTTAACTGCTATCATACAACGATGTTATTATTTTCAGTGTCTGCCACCAGCAGCATATTTGTGCTTATGGCGATTGTTCTTTCTTCATATTTCACTTTTGATTTATCGTAGACCGAATTGTAATGAGGCAACCTATTAGATATGAACATCATGGTGTTAGTATTCTTCAGTTAATTTAGACACAAATAATTTATCATACAACAGACTGAAGGCTAGATTCTTTGAAAAGATGGCTTAGGCAGTCATATAATGATGCTGACTGTTTGTTTGTTTTTTTTTTGAGAAAATCCATCATGTAGTTCAATGCACAAGTAAACTATCCCTATTTTGAACCTGTTGCTTTGTGCAAAAACTACTCACTGACTCAAAGAGTAGATCAAAATAATGAAAATATTGTGCACGCAGTAGAATGTAATAGATAATATCGTGTTTTTTTTTCAATTGACAGTGAAGATGGAGAGAAAGT